TAGAAGCTCCGCTGTAATTCCATCCTCACCTGGGGCCTTGCTGTTTTTAAGATGCTGGAGAGCCATTCTAATCTCGCTCAGACTGACGGCCGGGATATCTTCGGAATAGTGTCGGATAAGACTCGCTCTTGGATCGTTACTCACACTTGTGGCTCCAACGATGACGTATACAGCTGCCCATAGAACCTCTCAATATCACTCAAAATCTCAGGTGCCCCGGAAACGATGCTGCCACACTCTGTCTTCAGCTTTGACAGTTGGCTCTTTCTGGCAGACAGATCTCTGGCAAAGACTTTGGAGCCTTGGTTCCGCTCGATCGCTTCTTCAATACAAGCTGTATTGAAGTTGCGTAAGTCCCGCCGCATGCATTTGGAGATCTGTCTGTTCAGTTGCCTGTATGCTATCAAATCTGTTGAAGAATGTAGCTTCATCTCCCGTCTAACAGCCACGAACCGTCGGGGCTTGACCACGTCCACTTCCTGTGGGGCCGCTTCTGGAAGAAAGAGTTCACATAAAGAGTCCCTCTTTGTCCATGAAGTCGGCCAGCTGCTGGCCCCTTGGGTTCCGTTGCCCTATTCTAAATTTCCCTACTTTCAGCTCACCGTTCTCTCTTGTGCCTAGTTTTGCATTGAAGTCTCCCATTAACACCGTATATTGGGTTTTGGAGGAATGCATGGCTCTAGAAATATCCTCATACATTTCCTCCACCTCCTCATCGGGGTGTGCCGAGGTTGGTGCGTAAACCTGAAAAACCTTCCAACTCCACGATCTTCTCGTCAGTCCTCAGGGTGCGTGCGTTGTACGTTGCCAGGTCGAGTCGTCTAAGGTGGCAATCGAACCTCCACCGGAGATTCTTAGCACTCCCTGCCCCGCCGTTACCATGGTCGCCACCGTAGCCAGGAATAGCGGGGCCGCCGGGGACTGGGAGCCGTCTCTTTGTTACTTTCTTCATAGGGGGGTATTTGCCATAGTTGCCGCGCTTGGCGAGCGGGTTGGCAACCGCAGTTTTTTTATTGTAATTTCGGCGGATATTTCCTTGACCTAAAACCCTGTCAAAAATTAGAGGAGGCCTGGTCTTTTTTTCAACTTTCTTCCTTCACCGCCGAGCACGAGGTACAAGTACAAAACATTTTACCTGGTGGCGGCGGGCATCGAATTCGGATTGTTTGCGTACTGTGTAATTTGTAGCAAAAGTGTAATTTCTGTGGCAGCATAAGCGAAGTCCGTATCCCTATTTCCCTTATCTTATCATTATTATCATTTATCTTATATTCAAATGATAAGATAAATGATAATAATGATAAGATAAATGATAAGGTATATAGTTTCCGACAGATGACAGCATAATCATCTCGTTTATACATTACCATACAATATCTATATTTCAGGCATTAAGGGTTGAAAAATTAATAACATTGTTTATAGCAATAGTTTATTATTGTACACACATAGAGAATATCTCAAGAAAAAAAACTAAATGGCTGCCACATAGAGGGAAAGGGGATTAGACGTCAGTGTGTAGCGTATTTGTATATTAAAATAGTTGTAATATAAGTACCTAGAATATCGCTAGTCCGTGACCGGACACACAGTATACCTTGACCTAAAATATTTAAAAAACCTAAACATAACACTATTTAGGGAACCTTAATAAAAAGCCATAAAAAGGGAACGAGGAACGTCTTTGCATAATGCAGGAACCTGGAGTACATAGGATTTGAATGCCAGACACAAAATACGCAGACTGCCAACTGCCATCAGACAGATATAACAAAGGTGCGAGACGTCTGTCAGTACATTCGTCAACGCTTGTCAAGATTAACGATTAAGGCAAGTACTCCATACAACGTGAGAGGCTCATGTCCGGTCGTGATGAAGAAGAGGTCCACTAACACAATCCATGCCGCTGTCTTCAAGAATCTGTATAGCAATGTTTGTACTACTGCTTGATATCAGAAATGGGTAGGTGTGTTGCCAAACGGACTGCAAGGCAAAAATTACCAGACTTAACTTTCCACATGAGGTTTAGCCCTTCTATTTATTCTACACTACTAAAATTATTCATCCATTCAAATAAGCCTATCATAAGACCACTGCTGAACAAAGGTTTCCCCCATAGATTGCCCCAGAGGGAAAATTTTGCCATAGTTGCTACGGATATCTGCCAAGGGGTTGGCAACCGCACCTTCTTTTTTGAATAAGTTTTATCAGGAATACGAAAAAAAATGTCCATCTCCTGTTTCAGTTTCCTTCTTACTCTTACGGGAGGACACGAGGTAGTGGACATTCGAACGCCGCCATTACACAGCAAACTAAAATTATGTCATTTAATTAATGTTAATATTACTACTAAATATTATTGCAATTAACAATTCCACAAGTGCATTTCATACACAGGACATCTGACAAAGTGCTTCGTGTCACAGTGTCACCCTTAGTTATCTGTTACAGATAAAGATGTAAACAAAGTGATTAATTAATTATGATGTATGTTTAGGGTTGCCATCCGCTCCGATTTTTTTTATACAAGTAAGATTGACAAAGGAGCACACAGTTGATTTTTTTTTTATAGAATACGGGTGATAAACGAGCGCACAGTTCACTTTATGGTAAGTGGATGCTCTAGCCCATAGACATCTATAATACATTTATCCTCTATTAAAAATCAAAATACAAATGCGTTGTCACCCCTGAGGATTAAGATGGATTGCATCGTTTCCAGTAAAATGGTCTCCGGTTCTCTACACTAAACATGCAAAACATTAAGCTGTTTTTTACGCTGGTATTCTGTGCGAGCGTGGTCCTACCCCGGTCGAGCTGACCCATTCGTGCTACAACCATAATATAGCTGCAGCGTGGCTCTACGACGTATAAGTTGATGATGTTAAGTGGATGCTGTGGGTTGTAGACTTTAGATGCCTGCATCTATTCTCGATTAAGAATCAAAATGCAGATGCGTTGTCACCTCTGAAAAGTAAAATGCACTGCCTCGTTGTCAGTAAAAAGGATGTTCGGTTCTATCATACGAAACACGGCAGGATTATGCTGATATTTCACGTTGGTATTCTGTACGTGATACTTGCCCGGTCGAGCCGACCTATTCGTGTTACAGTTATAATACGCTTCAGCGTAGCCCTATCGATATTCTTAAGCCGCGTCTCCACCAAAGTTTTGTTACCAACTGTTGTGTTGCCAACACGTGTTGGCAACAAATGTTTTTGTAATTACCTAGTGTTGACAACAAAACTTGAAACAATGTCGGGAACCGTGTTTCTATTTTCGGCGGCAACGTCAAAGGAATACGCTTGTTGCAAACATTTGTTCCCTCAGTGGAGACGCTTGTTAGAAACATTTGTCGGCAGCATCGGAAACAAAAGTTGGTAACTTTTGTTGAGTTATAAACAGTTGGAAACTCTAAGTCCCGTATAGCGAGCTGTATCTCTACAAAACCTTTATATGTTTTGTCTCGATTATAAACTAGCCGCTCAGTGGCTATGAAAGAGAATCTATCACCGTATTTCATACCTCGGGCGTCGGGATAGGCGACTGTGGCTCTAATATTCCAATAGATGGCGCTGTAGCCAGTTTGTTTACGCCAAAAGTCAATGTACTCAGACCGGTCTGCGGTCCTCAATTTGCCTACCAAGCGTTGCGATTTAGGCAAATCCACCTTAAAAAGTGAGAGGCTCATGTCAAATCTGTAGCATCCGCGTAGGTAAATATGATAAATCATTATCTCAAGTGTGTTCCTTTTTGTGTTACCATTATAGCCTTCTAAAAGTTGCCCCACAATGGATATTTGCCATAGCTGCTACACTTGGCATGCGGGTTGGTTGTTCTCAGGAAGCCCCTGCTGATCATCTCCTGGTTTAAGATATGGGGTAGTGGATATTCTTACACGGCCACTACACGGTCAACGGTCTCTACAAGGTCAACGGCCACGGTTCCTTTTTGTGTAATTACGTCCAATTTAGAAGTAGCGGATTAAATAACAAGTCATTGGCAATATGATTATTTTAATGTCTTATCTAGATTTGTCAATACTTATATTAGTCTACAAATATTGCAATGATAAAGATACACGGTATGTAATGGAAAAATAATATAATATATTAATCTATCTTGACACAATCACAAAATAATACGTGTTCAAAGTTTACCGAAAGTCGTCTTTCGCGATTCAATCAGTTAGTTAAATGGACTGGATATCGACGGTTAAATCAGCTAGATAAATGGATGGCTAGGCCGTTAGTTAAATGTTTTTTTATTAAGATTCTGGCTTGGATACTTGTCCTTTAAGCTGTCTTCATTCATCTTATTATCAAGTGATAATAATCCTTTATAGTACACTGCTTCATAATATGGTGATCGTCAAATTGCGTAGTTTTTGGGAGATTTTGAAGGCAACTTGAACCAGCAGACGGTTGGCGATAATATCTCAAGGCGCCTATGTAGACAGACACCTTATATTGTGATTCACATCACCATCGAAGCACTTGTTTCACCATTTCCATTGATAGTTCACATGTGCAGACATTTAATACACAAAATCGCATCTTCTTTTAATCCCAACATGCACTGCTGTAGATGACCAGCACTGTACAAGAGAACTATAAACTCTTGTAAGTATTCAATGGAGTGTTAGCCAGCTGATAAAACCGTCGAGCTGCGACATTTATACAATTAACACAAGTTATAAATGCAAAAGCGGATACATGGCACTTGGAATAATATTATGTACAAAATAATTATTAACAGTTTAAATACACCATTTTGTTTGTAATAAATGCTACAATTTCCTACTTCATTATTAGAAAGAAAATTTTACATATACACTATATTATGTATATCATGTGTGGTACCCCAAATTCGACACAATGCACTTTGAATTAAACTCGAATAGTCATACACTATACCACATTATGCACTAAAATACGAAAATATCGTTAATATTATACAGTCCTACGCCATCATGTATACTTGCGAAAGACGGGAAAATTTCACACGTCATCGTCACGATCCTCGGGCCTGTGTCTTTGTAACACTGCGAGTCTTTGCTGAGTTACTTCTAGGTGATGTTTTCGCCATTTAATACGTCGATTTTGAAACCAAACTTTCACCTAAAAAAGAAAATTTTATTTTAAATGATTAATAAAAGGCAAAGGAAAACCTAACGAATGCTAATGTTAGTCGGTTTATACTGAGATTTGTAGTCAATTCACGTAGGTAGGTACTTAGCAGACGACAGATTGCTGAGCAAGTCATTGATGAAAATAAATCGAGTAACACCTGAGTATATACCTAGAACTAATCAGGCGTGTCACTTTGTAAAAATCTGAGGTATGGAAAATGGTGGCGCGATTTTCAAATTTGTTCGCATTACTCGTGGGGTATTAAGGTTTAAGAGTTTGCAGTGTATATACTCAACTTATTTATTGAACTATAAGATGTGGGGTATTGAGGTTTAAGGGCTTGCGATTTATTTATATGGGGTTTGTAGTAATATGCGATTTATTTCCTAATTTCAGCTATGGAATTCCATACCTTGAAAAACTTGAGGTATGGAGTGCTCCATACCTTCCATAGTGGAAGTGACACCCCTGGAACTAATTATAGTTCGTCACAAATGAATGAATGACCACGTCATGGACTCCTAAGTTGGTATGTTGGTAAGGTTTAACAACAATCCTTTTTTAGGTACGTTCGATTTTTTTTTAAATTGAAGTGACAAAGACATGCGTACTTACAGTCCTGATGGTACGTGGTTAGTGCTTAACTAATTAACTCAGTTCTTTCATTCGTATAGGTTGTTTACACTTAGATACCCTGAATTTTTTATAGCATGAATATTTTGTTCATATTGGTTACTATCGGGATAAAATATTCATACTATTATGATGGCTCCGTCGCGCAATGCCAGATGGCATTTAGCAATGAGTATAAGTATTTGAAAGGCCTACAAATAATTGTTCCGGACCTGGATCTTTGTCCTTATGAAATGTATGTATGTAAACTGCCTCTACAATACAGGAGAATATCCTAGTGTGGGGGTAACTTTATTTAAAAAAAGAAGATTCTGTGTCCATTGGAAAATCAAACTTTAATTAAGAATCAACCGTCGTCGTCACCCTTGATGACTAAGAGGAAATGCCCCTTTATCAGTAAAAACGGTCTCCGGTTCATGTCACTCTCCATTCGGAACACAACAACATTATTTGCTATTTCACACTGGTGTTTTGTGCGACCGTGATCCTACCTATTCGTGGTGCAGCTATAATATGAAACAACGTGGCCCTACGACATGAAAAATATACATAAAAACTTTCCAATAACGCATTAAATGACCTATTTATTTGAAGATTTACCTAAACTCATAACATAGGCGTGCTGGTTGACATGCCCACGAGCGACAATCCTCTTCTACTTAATGAGCCACTAAAATCAATAACTTGACTTGGGCCTCTCCCTTTGTAGGGAAGGTATGCCTTAATCGTCATGCTGGACAATACCCAAGCTGGTTTTACCGTCATTTATTATAAAATAGCCGCTTATTACGACACCAACGCAACAAAGTGGATTAATATTTTATCTAAGGTCGTGGTTTTAATATTTAGGTACTGCCTCAATAAGTCCCGTCACGTACCCTGACAGGTTGAATCTGATACCTGCGTTGCTTGATATATTAACAAAATTTCCGTATGTGCGAAGGTAAAAAAACCATCAAAAATATACTTTGTTTATAAATTTTATTTATTCATTGCTCCGTCTGTAGCTAAAATATATAAATTATCTGTGTTAGTAACGCGGGAGCAAGTGACGTACAGTTGACCGTGTAAATAACCTCGTATAAAAATCGTTGTTTCTTAAAACTTTAACAACTTTTTATTAAATGAAGATATCGCAATAATTTTTTTTGATAAGGCCAAGTGTTTTAGAAGTAAAACTTAGAAAAGCTAATTGAAATCTATCCAGTTGTTTTTTAGTGATGCGCGAACAACTGCAAACCTCTATCATTTTATTTATATAGATAAAAAAATTCGCCTACACAATCACGAACCCAATATTCTATTAGTCGCCATTTAGAACATTTTAAGCAAATAACACAGTTGGCACATTATTGGAACGAAGTTCCTTATCGGACGGAATGAATTTGGCGGATGTGAGCTAGGCGAGAAAAAGTGTAAGCTTTTTCCGTCATGACCCCTACTGGCGTAGTGTAAACGGCTATAAGGAAGCCAGATGGAATAATATCCATCTCCCTCGCACTTTTTCTTATCTTGCCATGAAAGAAATATTATTTTATTTCAAATGACGCTTCATTTTAATAGACGCTAGTAATTCCTTTATTTATTTTTGTTAATTAATAATGTAATAAGTTTATCAATAATAATATACTACGAAAGGAACTTCGTTCCAACTGAGTGTTCCACAACACTCACGAATGTTTTTTTTTATAAGTCCCACTACGCTATATACGTAATATCTCGACTTGGTAGAGCCACGCTGAAGCTATATTATGGTTGGAACACGAATAGGTCACCCCGATCGGGGAAGGACCACGTTCTCACACAATACCAGCGTAAAATAGCAGGCTTTTTTACAGAAAACTACTTTGATTCTCAATCGAGGATATAATTTAATATAGATATTCATGGGCCACAGCATCCACTTACCATTAGGTGGACTGTGTGCTCGTTTGTCACCCTTATTCTATAATAAAAAAAAAACATTGGACCAATTAGTCCCAAACCAACATAGGATGCTAAAATAGTTTGTCTATATATTTACCTGTGCTTCGGTGAGCTGTAAAGCGTGCGCCAAATACAGCCTCTCCGGCCCCACCATGTACTGCTGCCGTTCAAATTCCGCCTCCAGCCGCTCCAGCTGTTCCGGAGTGAATATCGTTCTTATCCTCTTACTTCTGCCAGTGCTGGAATTAAAAATTTAAATTTTACATGCCAAAAAAACTCTTATATATTTAAGTACGTCACAATACTGGGCACAGGCCTGTCTTTACTAAGAGGATTAATAGGATCAGTCGTTACTTTGTTGAAATCTATTAAAAAAGTTGCAAGTTTATTGCTAAATAAGCTGAGATCCGTGTAAAACTAAATAAAAGCTGACCAAGTGCGCGTCGGACTCGCGCATGAAAGGTTCCGTACGATCGTAATACACGTTTCTAGTAGGCAAGACCAAGACCCTTTAATTTTTAATTTATTTTTATTATTATTATTTGTTCTCGTATAACATATAGCGGCAACAGAAATACAAATTCTGTGAGCATTTCAACTGTCTACCTATTACGGATCATAAGATACTGCCCCTTGACAGACAGACGGACGGACGTACCCTAAAAATGTGCTGACTTATCTCGTTCGAAGAGCACCTGAGAGCAGAGCGACGGCGAGAGGCGGTATTTAAACTAGGTAAGGCTCATAATTTTTAGGGTTAAGCTATATTAGTAGTATAGTTGTAGCACGAATGGGTCGGCTCGACCGGGGAAGGACTACGCTCTCACAGAATACCAGCTAGACTTGTTAGAGCCATGCCGCAGCTATATTAGTAGTATAGTTGTAGCACGAATGGGTCGGCTCGACCGGGGAAGGACTACGCTCTCACAGAAAACCAGCTAGACTTGTTAGAGCCATGCCGCAGCTATATTAGTAGTATAGTTGTAGCACGAATGGGTCGGCACGACCGGGGAAGGACCACGCTCTCACAGAATACCAGCTAGACTTGGTAGAGCCTCGGTGAGGCTATATTAGTAGTATAGTTGTAGCACAAATGGGTCGGCTCGACCGGGGAAGGACCAACCTCTGACACAATACCAGCAAGACTTGGTACAGTCTCGGTGAGGCTATATTAGTAGTGTAGTTGTAGCACGAATGGGTCGGCACGACCGGGGAAGGACTACGCTCTCACAGAATACCAGCTAGACTTGGTAGAGCTATGCCGCAGCTATATTAGTATAGTTGTATCACGAATGTGTCGGCTCGACCGGGGATGGACCACGCTCTCACAGAATACCAGCTAGACTTGTTAGAGCCATGCCGCAGCTATATTAGTAGTTTAGTTGTAGCACGAATGGGTCGGCTCGACCGGGGAAGAACCACGCTCTCACAGAATACCAGCTAGACTTGGTAGGGCCTCGGTGAGGCTATATTAGTAGTATAGTTGTATCACGAATGTGTCGGCTCGACCGGGGAAGGACCACGCTCTCACAGAATACCAGCTAGACTTGGTAGAGCCTCGGTGAGGCTATATTAGTAGTATAGTTGTAGCACGAATGGGTCGGCTCGACCGAGGAAGGACCACGCTCTCACAGAATACCAGCTAGACTTGGTAGAGCCTCGGTGAGGCTATATTAGTAGTATAGTTGTAGCACGAATGGGTCGGCTCGACCGAGGAAGGACCACGCTCTCACAGAATACCAGCTAGACTTAGTAGAGCCTCGGTGAGGCTATATTAGTAGTATAGTTGTATCACGAATGTGTCGGCTCGACCGGGGAAGGACCACGCTCTCACAGAATACCAGCTAGACTTGGTAGGGCCTCGGTGAGGCTATATTAGTAGTATAGTTGTATCACGAATGTGTCGGCTCGACCGGGGGTGGACCAACCCCACACAGAATACCAGCTAGACTTGGTAGAGCCTCGGTGAGGCTATATTAGTAGTATAGTTGTAGCACAAATGGGTCGGCTCGCCGGGGAAGGACCAACCTCTCACAGAATACCAGCTAGACTTGGTAGAGCCTCGGTGAGGCTATATTAGTAGTATAGTTGTAGCACGAATGGGTCGGCTCGACCGAGGAAGGACCACGCTCTCACAGAATACCAGCTAGACTTAGTAGAGCCTCGGTGAGGCTATATTAGTAGTATAGTTGTATCACGAATGTGTCGGCTCGACCGGGGGTGGACCAACCCCACACAGAATACCAGCTAGACTTGGTAGAGCCTCGGTGAGGCTATATTAGTAGTATAGTTGTAGCACAAATGGGTCGGCTCGCCGGGGAAGGACCAACCTCTCACAGAATACCAGCTAGACTTGGTAGAGCCTCGGTGAGGCTATATTAGTAGTATAGCTGTAGCGCGAATTGGTTAGCTCGACCGGGGAAGGACCACGCTTTCACAGAATACCAGCTAGACTTGGTAGAGCCTCGGTGAGGCTATATTAGTAGTATAGTTGTAGCACGAATGGGTCGGCTCGACCGAGGAAGGACCACGCTCTCACAGAATACCAGCTAGACTTAGTAGAGCCTCGGTGAGGCTATATTAGTAGTATAGTTCTAACACGAATGGGTCGGCTCGACCGGGGAAGGACCACGATCTCACAGAATACCAGCTAGACTTGGTAGAGCCATGCTACAGCTATATTAGTAGTATAGCTGTAGCGCGAAATGGTTAGCTCGACCGGGGTAGGACCACGCTTTCACAGAATACCAGCTAGACTTGGTAGAGCCTCGGTGAGGCTATATTAGTAGTATAGTTGTAACACGAATGGGTCGGCTCGACCGGGGAAGGACCACGATCTCACAGAATACCAGCTAGACTTGGTAGAGCCATGCTACAGCTATATTAGTAGTACAGCTGTAGCGCGAAATGGTTAGCTCGACCGGGGTAGGACCACGCTTTCACAGAATACCAGCTAGACTTGGTAGAGCCTCGGTGAGGCTATATTAGTAGTATAGTTGTAACACGAATGGGTCGGCTCGACCGGGGAAGGACCACGATCTCACAGAATACCAGATAGACTTGGTAGAGCCATGCTGCAACTATATTAGCAGTATAGTTGCGCTACAACCTTAATACAGCTTCCGCGTGGCTCTACCACGTATAATTATTCATTATTACAGCTTATTAAAGAGTCTCCTTAGTATAGTTGTAGCACGAATAGGTCGGCTCGGCTGGGGAAGGACCACGCTCTCACAGAATACCAGCGTAAAATAGCAGCTTAACGCTGCTGTATTTCGTATGGTGAATGTAGAGAACCGGAGACCCTTTTTACTGGAAAGGAGGCATTCCATCTTAGTCCCCACGGGTGACAACGCATTTGCATTTTGTAATCGAGGATAAATGTAGACATCTGTGGGCTACAGCAACCACTTTCCATCAGGTGGACTGTGTGCTCGTTTGTCACCCTTATACTATAAAACAATCCTATAAAACACTTAACAGGCGGTATGTGAACCGCAGTTTTTATTATCTTGAGTTGTTATCGTGAAGATGCTGTTGTACATCTCCTGTTCCAGCTTTCCTCTGTCATGTCGTGTTTTACGATACCCACGACATTTGGGGTGGTGTATTCGCTTACGCCGCTTATACACAGACCAATCAATTAATGGATGACTCTGTGGCACAGAGGTTTAGCATTGTGCTGCGGTACTGAGCGCCGCGGTGGATGCATTTCGGAAAGTGTGCGCAGGAATTGCTTAACTTAATTCTTCCCTCTTCCTTCGACCATCGGACAGTCAGTCGCTCGGTCAGCCAGTCTCCACCTCTTGGTTGCCGATTTACCCCGCATTTGTACGTCGTGCGAACAGCAAAGAAGTGGAATAAGTTTACAGCAACTATGTTCACATCCGATTATAATGTGGGTGTCTTCAATTCTGCCTATTCACTCTTGCCTCAAGGCAATAGGCTTTTGTGAATGATTACTTGTGTGAATGATGCTTGACTGAATAGGCGAAGACAGTGTCTCAAGCAGAAGCAGCTTAGAATAGCTTAAAAATACTATAATTATATTAATCAACTAAAAGCTGTTTTATACAGTCCGTTACTGTGATTGCACTTGTGTGGCAAAATAGGCGTGCGAATCCCGCACGGAACTAGTGTTTGTATGGCCTACAAATAATTGTTACGGGTCTGGAGGTTGGTCCATGTTCAATTTATGTTTGTAAATTGTCTCTTACATACAGGAGATAATCCTAGTAGGGTAACGATTTTAAAATAAAAGTACACTATATTAGCGGTGGCGGTGTTAAATAAATATATTACTATACACGTTCTTTTTTAGTTTTTCTTTTATAACAATATATATTTGTATAGTGGACGCATTTAACAAACAAACGTTTTAGATGTTCACACACAGAGTCGGAAAAATTATTTGTAGGATATAGAAATCTTTTTTTCCGAGTGGGGACCTGGGCTTGAAAGCGCCACATTTGAACGCTTAACGACTGTGCTGTTCTAAATTGAAAGGCTAAATTCTAGTCGTTTAAATTTCTAGTGTACGTACCTATTAGAACACGTCATGGACTGCGGCCTGGAGTTCTTCATTTGCCCGATCTGCGGCCTGAGCTCAGATCTTGGACTGTCTGTAAATAAAATGTTAAAGTTACAACCATGTATTATATCTCACTACTGGGCACAGGTCTCCTCTCATTTCTGAGAGGGATTTAGGACGAGGAAATGTCCGCTGCGCTCACCCAACGCGTGTTGGATTCGCTTTCCGTTTCGCACCAACGAAGTTGATAAATGTAATTTTATGTACTGATTTACCACGTGCTCGTCGGTGAAGGAAAACATCCTGCATGTCTGAGAAATAAGAAAAAAAAGTGTGTGTGTACTTATTATGTACGCACGTATACTTCTTTAGTGTAAAGTGTAACAAAACAAAAATACTTGAGAGACAATTATCAACCACTGAAGTTGTCGCTGTTAGGTGGCAGTGTGCGCTCGCATCGTAACAACTTCATGGTGTCGTTTCAGGTGTCGGTGTGCGCGCGCATCGTAACAACTTCATGGTGTCGTTTTAGGTGTCGGTGTGCGCGCGCATAGTAATAACTTCATGGTGTCGTTTTTAGGCGTCGGTGTGCGCGCGCATCGTAAAAACTTCATGGTGTCGTTTTTAGGTGGTGGTTTGCGCGCGCATCGTAACAATTTCATGGTGTCGTTTTTAGGTGTCGGTGTGCGCGCGCATCGTTACAACTTCATTGTGTCGTTTTTAGGTGTCGGTGTTTAAAATACTAGCGATCCGCCCTGGCTTCGTACGGGTGATTACTAAATAGCGACAGCGCCACCTACCGGGCACAATTGTGAATCTAAAAATTTCATCAAATCGGTCCAGTCGTTTAGGAGGAGTTCAGTCACGTACACAAGGACAGAAGAATTATATTGGTTATTTAAAGTTAATGAACTATTGTGTAAAAACATTTTTCTCTAGGATTTTTTTTAGTTACAAAGGGTACTTTATTGTTTCCTCGTCAATAATGGGTTTAAATTGCAAATTTTAATTTTTACAGCCTTCATAGCCGTGGCATGAAGTAATATTCTTTTTTTTTTAGAAAACTCGACCCTAAAAACTTTAATTTTAACTATAAAATAATAATATGCAAATCGTATGTGGTTTTATTACCTCTAACTGACACGAGCATCGGTGAAGCGGACAATAAAACCATGTACCTACAACTTACAAAAATGTTTTTTATTAAATATTATTTTTAATGGTACATACATATGAATACTGATTCAGATAAAGTATTCAACCGAAACCACAGTTTTTGTTACACGTTGTATCGTTATTCATCGTTACAACCCCCACAAGTCCACTGCTGAACATAGGCCTCCCCCAAGGAATGCAACGAAGCACGGTCCTGAGACACCAGCATCCATCGACTTCCTGCATGTCTTACCAGGTCGTCACCGCATGTAGTGGGGGGACGCCCTTCACTTCATCCGCCGGTACGAGGCCGCCACTCGAGAACCTTTTTCCCCATCGGTTGTCGGTTCTTCGAGCTATATGGCCAGCCAATTACCACTTCAGTTTACTAATCCGTTGGGCTATGTCGGTCACTCTGGTTCTACTGCGGATATCGTCATTTCTAAGTCTATCACGCAGAGAAACCCCGAGCATAGCCATCTCCCTAGCTCGCTGAGCGACATTGAGCTTCCTCATACGCAATGACCAGAAGGACGGCACGTCTCAGTTCCATAGGTTATCACTGGCACCACGCAATTAAGATAATTTGAAGTATAATAATTAAATGTAAATAAAACTCATTTTACGGATTTTATCGCGTATATTAACTTATTTTATATTCCCGACGTTTCGATCACTTTACAGCACCCATGGTCACGGGGGGGGGGGGGGGACTGAGGTGTATATCATAGTTAACCACGGCTACCTCCAGCTTAAAATTTATTAATATTTGCTCCGATCTACGCAGTATGAACTTACAGTATCTTGAAGTCTTGCAGTCCTATGCTTGGGTTGGGTTATGGGTTGGTGATCCCAAGCAGATGGTAGCACCCAGCCGTCTTCTCTATTGAAATCAGGATGTTTTTTGATTTCAATTGCCTCGCGAATCATTATTGTAAGGAATCGGTGTTCTTTAGCGAGGATTTGTGGTCTATTAAATCTAATGTAGTGACGGGGGCGATCCTGTACGTGTTCACAGACTGCAGACTTCCCGGAGCGTCGATTCTTCACATCAGCTTTGTGTTCTTTAAAGCGGGAATCTAGCTCAAAATAAGTGCAAAAACAGGTTTTTCCTTTTTTTTTAATAGAGTATTTTTTTATCGGATCGTGTTTTTGCTTCAACGGATTTGAAGATTAGTCCAAGTTTGATGTGTCCAAATAGCAAACTCTTAGGTCTTATAGATACCGAGATCCAGATCGCTCAATATCACCAAAACAGCTTTATATGGACTCCACTATGGGTTCCGGGGAACCTAAGGTTTCTACAGAAAAGTCACCAGGGTTCCGCGATATTACTTATTTTTGTTTTTTAAATAATACCACAATTAGGTACAAATATTATTTTGAAATAGTCCAAAATATATGATGAGATGTACTCATTACTATGATGTAGATACGTAGGTAGTTAGCGAGCATTCGGGATTATACTGCAGCGTATAAAAGTAGTATAACTTCAAATACTACTTGTATTTGAAGTTATACTTCTTTTAGCGCATTTGGGAAAAGTTATAAGAGTGGATTTTTTAGAGAGCACACGCACACCGACACCTAAAGATGACAGTACGGAATTGTTACAATACGCGCGCACCATGGAGTACTATGGCGATACCTAAAAGCGGCAACTTCAGTTCGTAATTATCTGTCAACTGTCAAGTTTTCGTAAGAACTGATAACTATGGTAGTTATTCAAATATATATGAATCTATAAAACGTGCTTTAGCTGGTTTCTGATGATGGTTATGCTGTTAGCCTTTTGGCTTTTACAGCTTTTCATAGGATTCAGGGCTTTCTTCATAGACCTCAAAGGCCGCAAGCCCTGAATCCAATGAAGCTGTGAAAAGGGGGTGAAGTTTTATTATTCTGCGTCGTTACTTGCGTAACGACGACTCCTAGGACGCTTTACGCTTAGTCGCTCCGTTAGATCGAACAATGCATTACCATTGGGATTGCTTGTAAGCGAGTTTCAGGAAGAATGCTTATTGTTGAGATCTCCAGCTATTATAACACTGGAGCATAGGTTGAGTAAATCTGCGCTGTGAGATACGGTTACCCGTTTGATACGCCGAAACTAGAGTGAGTGGGGGAAGGCCACAGAGTGCTACTTTACATATGGAAACTTCTATGTTAGTTAACGGGGTTGCGTCGATCGGTACGCAGTGCACGGTCCTTTTGTAGTAGATCAAGGTGCCGCCAAATGATAGGTTAATCAGCCCTAGGCTGGTCAACCTATCATCTCTTACTAAGGTGTAGTTTGCGATCTTAGGATCGTGATTAGAGTTGCCATCTGTCCGGCTTTAGCCGGGCATGTTTGGCTTTATCGGATTGTGTCCGGCCAAATTTTTATGTGTCCGGCCTGTCCGGCTTTTGTTAGGCTTTTTGTTAGTGTAACGAGTTGCACGCATCGCTTGCAGAATGAGCGAAGCAATACCAAATTTATCTATCCATATACATTATTACCAGCCAGCAAAATATAGATTATTATTTTAAAGTTTTAATTGTACCTGATAATTGAAATAATAAAACTTACTTTATTGTAGTTTTTAATTTTTTATCTTGAAATATGAGTAGTTTTTTAAAATTTGTTTTGTGAAAGTGGTTAAGTACTTTGTTTAGAATTGTAATTTTATAGTCTACAAACAGAAGACTGCTTTTGTTGTTTGTTATTGTAAGTAATAAGTGGTTTAAATTTATTTCAATCTGTGCTGTGATTGGTTAATAAATAAGTAACGTATACATTTGAAACTGTGCTGTGATTGATTAATAAACAATTAACGTATGAAGCGGAGTATTTTAGTTTTCTTTCTCGGGGGTTTTGAGTTGGTGAGGTTTTTGGCTGCATGGCCTCAGAAAAGTAAGTTTGGCTTTCTAAAAAATACTGTCTGGCTTTTAGGGCCAAAAGTCCGGCTTTTTGGAGCTCCGAGTCCGGCTTTTTCATTTTAAGAGATGGCAACTTTAATTGTGATGGCTAGAGTTCAAAAAAGTTTCTTGCACTAACATTACGTCTTCATCGTGGTTGCGCGAGGAAGAGCGAGATCTCGTCGTCTGAGGCCGATCGTGTTAAAGAACGCGACAGTGGTTGTGGTTTTGTTGTGGTGTGGCTGTGGTTTAATTGTACCGAAATTTTGTGCTGCCATTTTGATATTTAGAAAAGGTGATTTGGCACACTGAAAATACCAGATTGTGTCGATAAGTTCTATGTGCTCAATCATAGCGTTGAGCACATAGTGGTGGCTTCGCGGAGTTTGCGGGCCAAGGAGGATAATTCAGCAACGTTAATGTTGCTGATGAAGCCGCAGACTGGCGAGAAGTCAGCGGTAAAGGAGGGCGAGCCTTATGGGACAGGCTTCGGTTTTGGGGCCTAGGCAGGCGGCACTGGCCTAGGCAGGTTTCATCCGAGCGTTGGGTTTCGGCGCGGAAGGCACGTCAGGCTAGTACCTTACTCGACCGTGGTGCGGGTTTGGGGACAGGAAGCCGAGAGCGTGACACATATATATATAGCTCGGGGGTTTAACCATCTCGGGCGTGTGGTCAGTGGTGCCGTGGTCACCTAGGCACATGACGCACCTACGCCTGGCGTAGCAATTTCTGGTCGAGTGGCCGTACAGTTGGCACCGATGGTACACTGGCCAACGATGCCCCTATTTCGGGGGGCTTCAACTGCAATCCCCGTGAGGTTGCAAATGCGCCGGACGTTAAAATCTCGTTGCCTTCCTGAGGCAGGTCCAAGATGACAAGGCACAGATCTAAAAATCGTGTCTTGTCGGTCTGGTGATGCATTCTATGCACCTCCCAGACCGGCAGATTTTGGGACTTTAGGTCGACTAAGATGTGGACAGTCTCGAGCTCCTTGGGGAGGCCTCGGACGACCACGTGCAGGTTACGTTACTAAGGGAGGGC